ATTAAAAAAAAAAAAAACTCGTAACTAAGGAATCAAGATGTTCTCTAACACCAGATCCAGGTTTGATCACCAACACCACATGGCTTTCCAAATATCTGCTTTTTTTTTTTAAAGTACTGTCAGATTCTATAAATTGTTTCCCTCTTCTGAAAATATTCAACTCCCATTTACTGAATAGCATTCCAGTACTTTTTCCCATCAAAAGTTCTTTAGTCTGCATCTTCAGCAACTTATGCTTTCCATTCTGTTACCTTCCCTTTTTTTTTTTTTTAACAGTAGCTCTGCAGCACTGTCCTCCTGTTGTTCATCGATTTGCTCGAGTGGGCCCAGTAACATCTCCATTGTGAGACTTCTTGTTATTGTGTTTGGCATATCGAATACATCACGGGGAGCTTGCCAGGCTTTGCCATGTGGGCAAGATACTCTTGGTAGCTTGCCGGGCTCTCTGAGAGGGGCAGTGTAATCGAACCCGGGTCAGCCAGGCTGGGCCGCATGTAAGGCAAATGCCCTACTGCTGTGCTATTTGTGTGGGGGTCATAAGTACTGTGTTCAGGAGGCCTGGGAGTCATTAGCTGATGGGATGGTTCAGTGCAGGCCACTGTATGCTGCTATGATCTTGTGGTATCTTCATGGCCATAACAGACAGTGTTTAGGGGCCATGTGATGCTTAAAACTAGGTCCCAGAGTACTGAACTATCTCCCTAGTGCATGGGGTAGTTTTATTTAACTGAATTACTCTGAGATACACAGTTACAAGGTTGCTCATGTTCCAAGTATTTGTGAGTGTAGTCCTCAATGATCTTGAGCACTTCCAGGGATGGCTCTGCACTGGAAGGTCAGGGTAGTGCTGAATCCTCAGTCCCTAACACTGAACTGCCAGCCTGACTGGGCTAGTATCACCAAGAGTGGCCCCTAAACACCCCCACCAAAAATATCTTGGCAAAATGACTCCAACATCAAAAGAATCATTCATGGCTTGCTCTTTCAAGCCCATGTTCTCCTTGAACATATAATTCTCTCTTTCTCCTTTTATTCTACTCTGGAAACTCCCTTATTCTTTCTCTCTTGAACATGGATTCCTCTTTTTCCCCCCCTTTACTTCTAAGAAAAATTATATCAATAAAAACTATATTACTTCACTTAAAAAATATTCACCATGATTAAGTGGTATTCATCCTAGGGATGCAAGGATGTTTCAATGTATGCAAGTAAATTCATACAAGGGACTTGCCCTGCATGCAACCAACCACAGTTTAATCACTGTAACTGCCTATGGTTCCCTGAACACATCCAGGTATCACTCCTGAGCACAGAGTCAGAAATCCCTGAGAACAAATGTGTATTCAGTATTAAAGCACACACATGCACAGACACCCACACCCACACACCAAAAACAGAAAAAGAAATGACGAAAGAAAAAGAAATCACATGATTATATCAATATAAGCTAAAATGTACATGGCAAGATACAACATCCACTCACCATAAAAGTACAAAAGGGGCTGGAGAAGTACAGCAGTATGGTACTTGCTGTGTACTGACTGGACTGAGTTTAACCTCTGGCACTCATATTGTCTCCTGAGTACTGCCAAGAGTGATCCCTGAGCACAAAGTCAGGATCCCTGAGTACTGCCAAGTATTGTCCAAAAACCAAAAATTCCTTCCACAAAAAAAAAAAATCCCAATACAGTAAGTTGCACCTAATGAGGTACCATCAAAATATTTACAGCTGCTAATAGTTGTTGTAATGAAGAAAGAGATGAAGGAAGATACTGACAACAGCAAAATAGTAGTGGCAGACTTAACATTCCTCTTCCACCGCTGAAGAGACCAACTAGGCAAAAATCAACAAGGAAACACTAACACTTAAGAAAAAATAGAAGAGGTGGTCCAAAAGATATGTATGGAACCCTCTAGCCCCAAAAAGCTGAGTACACATTCTGCTCCAGTTCCAAATGAACATTCTCTGAGACAAACTACACACTGAGTCACAAAACACAGCTCCATAAAATAAAAATTTTAAAAAGAAGACAGAAATCATATCAATTATCCTGTCAGAACACAATGCTTTGAAAACTGAAATAAAATTAATAAAACATCTGGAATTAAACATAAATAAGGATTTTCAGAACAGAAAACAAAACAAACACACTTTACAGTTATACCCATAAAACATATAAATTTTAAAAAAGAAAAAAATATAGTAAGGGAGCAACAAATGGCCAAAGGCAACAGAAATAAAGGGTTGGCTATAGAATTGAGCTTGATGGGGAGGGGGTATCTTGGGAAACTAGCAAAGCGAAGTGACCACGGTGGTGCTAGATAGGTGTGGGGCTGGGACAACGTATGCATGAATATCCTTAATACCTTAAATGACAATATCTCAATAAAAATGGGGGCTAAGTTTGTAAATGTCATTAAACTCTGAATAGAAATAATATACTTAACATATCCAACTGCTAACATCATTAAATTTTAAAAAAATCTGGAAATTATTCATTCTCACCACTACTTTTTAACATAGTCTAAGAAGTCAAAGTCAGAGAAATTATGCACAAGATAGTTGTTAAAGAAATACAAACGTAAGAGTAAAAGAATCACTGTATGTGATGGCACAGAAAACTCTAAAGATCCTATCAAAAATCTATGAAAAATAATGAGTTTACAGAATTGCAGGAACCAAAATCAACACATAAGCTACTGCATATAGGTATGAAACAAGAGTTGGAAGACAGGGAAATTAAGAGCACAATGGCATTTATAATTGCATCAAAAAAGATAAAATAGCTGAAAATAAACCTAAAAAGGCTGGTGGGAGAAGAGAACATTGATAACTCTAAGACATTGCTAAAAGAATTAAAAGACACAAAGAAATGGAAACACATTCCATATTCATTAGCTTGAAGAAAAAATACTATTAAACGGACCATCTCACCTTAAGCAATTACAGATTAAATGCAATACTTATAGAAATATCAATGATACTCTTCAAGAAAGTGATAGAATTCTCTTCAAGAAACACTTATAAATTTAAGAATTCTAAAATTTATATGGAAAACCAAAAGACCAAAACCAAAACCAAATAGTAAAAGCAATACTGAGAGAATAAAGAAAAACAGGCATTACTTTCCCTGGTTTCAAATTATATTGCAAAGCAATAGTAATCAAAGCAGAGTACTGTTGGAACAAACAGGCACACAGACAGATATGTGGAATAGAAGAGATAGTGCAAAATAAACTCACAGATTCACAGAAATTAATCTATTTATGCTGAAGAGGCTGGGTAAGATCATACAATGGATAAAGAAAGCCACTTCAACAAATGGTACAAAGACATCTTAATAACCACACTCAAAAAAAAAAAAAGGTAAAGTTAAACCAGATCACCACTCAACATCACACCAAAAAAATGAACACAAAAATCAAAGACTTATAGATTAGACCTGAAATAATAAAATGCAAAGAAAAAAAAGCAAAGAAGGAAGGGAGGGAACAAAGAAGGGTAGGGAATAAAGGAACAGAGGAGAGGGAGGAAGGGAGGGCTGGCAAATGACCCTTGGAAATCTACCTCCTTTAAAGAAATATATATTGGGGACTGAGATAGTATGGTACATATGACTTTTGTGTTTCACTGAGTCAACCTGGGCTTGATGCCGGGTACTACATATGTTTCCCAAACCCTTCCATGAGTGATCCCTGAGCACTGCCTAGTGTGGCCCAATAAACAAAGAAATAAACAGCATTGCCAAGTGAACTTCAGGCTGGATCATTCCAGCACCCTCTGGGTGATTGGAACTGCTCACTTTAGGTAATGCTGTTTAAAAAAAAATAATATATCAATATAAAAGAAAATCTGAAAATAAATGGTTAGCTCAATTCACTAGTATAGCTGTAGTTACTCATTTTCTTCTCTCTCTCTCTCTCTCTCTCTCTCTCTCTCTCTCTCTCTCTCTCTCTCTCTCTCTCTTTTGGTTAAGGGATTCTCAATTACTGGCTCAATCCCTTTCCTTATTACAAATTTGTAGTGTTTTCTATTTTATCCTATGTCAATACTTCTAGGTAAATCCCTGCGCTTTGTCTCTTCTGTTGTCTTGTTGGCATAAAGCTGTTCATAGTATTCTTATAATGTTCTTGCTTTCTGATGATAGGGAACTGTATATTCACTTGTATTTTTGATATTCTTCCTCCCTCCTACCTTTGCTATCTCTGTCAATCTGGCTAGAGTTGATTTTTGGTATAAAAAATATTAAATACTTTATCTAGTGGGCTGGAGTGATAGCACAACAAGTAAGGTGTTTGCCTTGCACATGGCCGACATGCCGACCCAGGTTCGATTCCTCCACCCCTCTCGGAGAGCCCGGCAAGCTACTGAGAGTATCTCTCCCACATGGCAAAGCCTGGCAAGCTCCCAGTGACATATTCAATATGCCAAAAACAGTAACAACAAGTCTCACAATTTGTTGTGAGATGTTACTGGTGCCTGCTCGAGCAAATCGATGAACAATGGGAGGACAGTGCTACAGTGCTACTTTATCTAGCATCACACAGGATGTAAACTGATGAAGGAGGATTCAAACTGGACAGAACAACTTGAGAACTGGCACATGGATTCCCCTTGCAAATTACTGATGAGAGTTGTTAGCTTCTGCCCACTATTATCTCTCCCCAGCTAATACAAGTATGTGAAAAGCTACCACTGAATCTCTAAGTCAACTTAAAGGAGACTTGGTGTTAAAATATAAATATAACTCAAATGCTGATTACTAATACATCTTATTCAGACAACGAGTTTTTCCATAAATATTTTAAATGATCTCTGAGTCACTAAAATTTTTCTCTAACATTTACATCCACACCCTGTTAGTAAAAATTAAAAATATGAGGTTTGAGGAGAGCTAGTTTTCACTTTAAAGCAAATATTAATGCATAAGCTAGCAAAACTAAGATGCTCAAAGAGAAAAACATTCATTTTATTTCAAAAATGTGGAATCAAACAATACCTTCAGCCCCTCCAATTCATTTTCTAGTTGCTTAGAATAGTGCTCACTCTGTTCACGCAGTTTCCTGTCTTTAGATGCTTCAGCAGCTACAGCTTCTGTATGAACTTCCAGCTTAAAGATAAAATTTTAAAGAAAAAGCAGATTTTTATGGTTCTAATTGACTTTTATGACAGGAATTTACCTTGTATAAGGAAGATAACTCAAATGTTGGATTTCATAATATATATTACCAAACTAAAATACAATTTTCAAAAATTAAAGAATGAAATACATACCGCTAGTCTGAAAAAGCACTTTTTATTGCTAGCCCATGGGCACTACAAAATTTGCCTGACTACTAACCTCTTTTTTGGCTCTTTCTGTTCTGCGCAGTTCTTGCCTTAAGCTTTCAACTTTTTGCATCACCAGGTCCACCTCTTCTTCCTTATCTCGGACATGGCGAGCAAGTTTCTGTTTTTGGGTGTGCAATTCTGTTAGTCGCTCATTGATCTCCATGAATTCCTGCATGGCCAGTTTCCTCTGACAGTGTGCGTCTTTCAGCTCTTTGGACTGGTTTTTTAATCGCTCACTAGCCTGGACTAGTTCCTACAGTTTTGTAAAAAGAATATAAGTTACCAATTCTGCAAGCTAGAAACCAAATTTGGCCATCAAAGTGCTACTCTGAGCCAATAAAAAAAAATCACCTCAGGACAAAATGAAAAGAAACTAACTAGCTTTGAACAGATATCAAAAGTGTACTGCTCTTTATATTCTCAAATCCTTTCACTAGTCTCAAAGGAACAGCCAATTCAGCCTTCTAGTACCTTAATGTATATGAATAAATAAAATATTATAGATGTAACATATAATGGTCAAAATAAAACTTTTGTGCAATTTGATGGATATTTGTGAAATCTTTCAAAAATTATAGTAAATGATAAAAATAAAGGCTGCTTTTGATATGAAGACTAAATCTTAAGTCAGAAGCAAGGAGAAAATGCTTAAGTTGTTATTTAAAGGAAAATATTCAGAAGGGCTAAAATGGACTCAGACTGGTACAACCTCCTGCTTTCCAAGAAAAGAAAACACAATTTTTTTTTCAAAAACTTTCTCCATGAAATGAAGGTTATTTTTCCTTAAAGAATACGCAAAGAAGACCTCACAACCACAGATTCCCAAACATCCAAAAGAACAAACAACCATAAACAATGAAAAATAAGCCTAAATGTTACTGGATATTAAAATGGTCAAACCTTGGCATAAAGCAGCCATATATGAAGTAACTTGAAAAACATAAAAAGAAAAATCATAGAAATGGGAAAAGCTGATTTAAAATGACCTGGTAAATTTATAAAAGTACTTTATACAAGACTTAGAAATGGGCAAAAAAGTTGTAAAATTAGGGACTGGGTAGATAGTACAGTGGGCAGGAGTACAGGGGTACTCAAGTTCCATCCCTGACATGCCTATGATCTCCTGAGCACTGCGAGGAGTAATTTCTGAGTATACAGCCAGGAGTTATCCTTCAGCATCACCAGGTATGGCTCAAAAATAAAACAAAAGGTGTTCAAATTAAAGACACGAATTCATCAATATGGAAAATATCTTAGAAGCAAAAATAATAGAAATCCAGAAATTTAAAATGAAAAACAAAAATCTTGTAACACATACACACACAGAGCAAGAGAAAGAAAAGAGAGCGATTAATAGAAATTTAAGAAAAGAAAAATAAAAGACAAAACATCTAAAATCCCATGATTGAGAAGTAGGAAAATAAAAGAGCAAACATCTAAGGATAAATATTAGAAATAGTGAAAAATGTGTTTTTTGTTTAAAGATGAGAAATTAAAGAACATTTTATGCTCACAAAAAATTACTTCTCAAGCACAAGGCTAAAATAATGATATTTATACAAACAAATACTGACAGGTTCACCACAATCAGATCCACAGGAAAGGAATCCCTAAAGCTTTGTTTTAGAAAAAAAGACAAATGACTTTAGAAAGAAGATATAATTAAAGAGATGTCAAGGGCTAAGATATATAAAAACCAAAGTATGTAAGACTATGTTATAAAAGTGCCTGATTTGTACAGTCAACAAAGAATATAACTGGGAATGGTCAAACACGACACAGAAATTTTGAAGAAATAAGAAAATTCAAAGTCTTTTAGTTGGGAGAAGTGTTCAACTAAACAGTGCACTTAAAAATGATGAGGATAAAACATTTTATATGCTGTTTACTACAATTCTGTTTTTAAAGCACAAAGACACTAAGCATAGAAAAAGAATAATATATAGAAAATGAAAAGTAGTAGAAACATAATTTATATTTTATTAGTAAACAAAACATGAAAGAGCTAAGCTCGCCTGTAAAAACAAATAAAATCCAGAATTGGAAAGAAAAACCATTATTTAAGGAAAAAGACCATCACTAAACAAATGAAAATTTCAATTTACTACAAGGAACAACATACTAAATTTCTGAGCATTCTACAAGACTTATTACAAAGACCTAATAGACAGTATAGGGGTGAAAGTACTTTCCCTGCAAAGTCTGGAGTGACTCCCAAGAAGAGTCAGGAATAAGTCCCACATACAGCTCAGTCACTGTCACGGTCACTGTCCTCCCAATGTTCATCGATTTTCTCGAGCAGGCCCAGTAACGTCTCCATTGTGACACTTGTTACTGTGTTTGACATATTGAATACGTCACAGGTAGCTTGCCACGCTTTGCAGTGTAGGCAAGATACTCTCGGTAGCTTGCCGGGCTCTCCGAGAGGGGTGGAGGAATCAAACTCGGGTCGGCCATGCTGGTCGGCCATGTTGGTCGACCAACTTTTAACAAAAGTGAACATAAGAATACTTGAAAAACTCTACATGTTTCATATATGGAAGTTTGTACCCAGCACCAAAAACATTTTCCCCCCTATTTTGGTGTTGGGGCCACAGTGTGGTGCTGAGTATTGCTCAGGGGACTATGAAGTGCTATGGATCATATGGCGCCAAGTATCACACCTGGGGCTCCTGCAGGCAAAGTCTGCCCTCCAGCACTCTGAGCCATCTTCCCAGCCCCAGAATGGATATTCTTTATGAGGGAATATGATATACTTTGAAATGTAAACGACTATGTTTGAAGCAATTGTCAGCATATTTCACAGAACAGGTATAATTCAGCTCAAGTACTTTAATAACCTTTATCATTAAAATAGAAATGAAAAAGGAAGAAGAAAAATTCTATAGTAATTAATGGGTCAGGGAGAAGATCATAACGCACATTATAAAGTTTAGAGTAAAAATAAATTAAAATTAAGTATAAAACTCTTTACTATATATTAAAACTTGGGATACAGTAAAAGGTATAAAGTAAAAGTAAGTAAAGGCCCTCCCGTTGATCATCGATTTGCTCGAGCGGGCCCAGTAACGTCTCCATTGGAGACTTTGTTGTTACTGTGTTTGGCATATCGAATACGTCACGGGGAGCTTGCCAGGCTCTGCCGTGCAGGCGAGATATTCTCGGTAGCTTGCCAGGCTCTCCGAGAGGGGCGGAGGAATCGAAGTAAAAGGTATAACAAAAGAAATTTAGAACCTAAAAGTACTTTTATTGAAACCAAACAAAAAGGTTACAATTCTGTGATTTCTACCTAACAAGTTAAAAGAAAGGCACAATAATTTTCCCACTCATAAGAGAAAATAATAAATTGCAGCACAAAATTGGCACGAGAATGATAAATTAATCAACAAAGTCAAAAGTTGGTTCTTTGACAAAACAGGCAAATAGGTAGTGATGTCAAACAAGTGAATAAGCATATATGCCCAAAATAAATTACACTAAGAAAGAAAAATAAGTTATAATTACACTAAGAAAGAAAAATAAGTTATAATTACAATTCTAAAAGAAAAATAAATATATATATAAGAAAAATGTCAATAAATGTGTGAACTTATGAAATGAACAAATCCATATACAATACAATTCAGAAGAAGCAGAATGCCTGAATAGTCCTATAAAATTTTTTTTAAACTGTGCCAACAGCTAAAAACTTCTCCATTCACCCAGTGGAAATCTTCAGGCTCAGACAGTTAGAATGTGATTTCTCCAATATTTCAATAAACAACTGTTCCTCTTATATAAAAAATTTTCATGTAAGAGAAAAAAGAGGTGATATTTTCCAATATACTCAATCAGATCAGTATAATCTTATTTTTTAGTATTTTCAAGACCAGTATAATAACCTTCTTGAGATAAGGAAAGGTAAGAAAAAAATTATAAGCAATCTTACTGATATAAAACAGAATTTCTTAATATAGACATTAGCAAATCAGTTCCACTGATGTATTAAGTAGATAAACATAACTCTGGAATAGACCCTTTTGTTGAAATTACAGATCTACTATTGCCTAGTTTTGAACAATATATTGATTATTCTGTGCTAAGATTCAACATATGTAATTGATTAATATATAAATCACAAGATTTACAGAGATTAAATTATCTATATAAGGGCATTCCCCTTAAAACACTGCTAATAGAACAGATGCTATATTGCCTTAGAGTATCATATTGTTGTTTTGAAATTAATATATGGGTAATTTGGTTTAACCCAGAAATGTGTAAATTGTTTAAAATTAGAAAGTCTATAACTGTAGCTTGCTATACCTGCTTATCAAAGTAGATCATAATTATTCCAATAGACAATTACAAATTTCTAGAAATGCAAATGTAATAAATTTATTAAGCATTATTGATTTTTAAGATACTAGCAAATTAGGAACAGAAGATAACTTATTTAACCTCACTAATACATCTTTACAAAAAATTTAATAGAAAATTATTATTACTGATGAAACACTAAAAGTATTTTCTTTAAAATCAGAATAGGATAGGAATGCCTGCTAATACCACTTCCATTAAACACAGTGCTGGAGGTCTAGTTATACAGTTAGAGAAGAAAAGAAAAGAAAGTCAAAAATTTAAAAGACAAAAACCAAGACATTTATTAGTTACCAAAAAATTAAAGAATCTGAAATATGTTTTAAAAATTAGTAATAGTTTAACAGTATTGCTGGGAGAAAATGAGTATTAAAATCTTAAATATATTATTTACAATATAAAAAAATTAAGAGAATAAATTTAAGAAAGACAAATTATACTGAAAAAATTTTTGTTGTTTGTTTTGGGGATCACACCCTGAGTTGCTACTCAGGGCTTACTCGTGGCTTTGTGCTCAGGGATCACTCCTTGGTGGGGTTCAGGAGACCTTATGAGCTTATGAGCATCTGGGGTCTTGAACACAGGCCAAATGCATGCAAAGCAAGTACTCCCACTGCATCTGGCCCCTGATAAAAAATTTATAGAAAAAAATATTATAAAAGACTTGGAAAAAAAGATAAGGGAAGATATTATATGACTGTGAATAAATACTATAGAGCTGTCTTTTTAATGCTTTGAAAGGCAGCTGTGAGCAAATTTTACTGAAACTTCCAACCAAGCCTTAGAAAAAAAACCTTGTAAAATAATACATGTCCATTTTAGATAGTGAGAAAATTGCCACTATATTCAGCTCTGGGACGTATGAATGCACATTTTAGGAGGGGGTGAGGAGAGGGCCTAGGAAGACTTTAAAAAATATATATAGTGGGTGGCTCAGGGCTTATCTTTCAACTGGGATTATTTATTTATATTGTAAATTGTTACAGTTTTCATGAATACTCTAAGAAGATGGGTGGCAAAGGGGGATGCAAAAAGCATTATTCCTCTATATAAATACCTGAATCATTTTTCGCAGAATAGTTCTTTGTCTCTCACTGTCTACACACACACACACACACACACAGAGTTTCTTCCACCCACATCTCATTGAACTTCCCCAATGGTAAGAAAGTATGTGCATCCAGAATAATGTAAATAAATGGATAATAAGAATTTTGACTCAGTATTGGAATACCATTAATTCTTCTGAAACCACTTTATAGATTTAATGTAAGTTTAATTAAAATTCTCTACAGTTTTTTTTATAAAACAGAGGGTCAATATATAAATCCTTGAATGAATTTAATTTGCAAGCTGCAAACAGAACCCAGGGCCTCACTCATGCAATGCATATAACTATTCTACTGCTGAAATACCACCCAATCTTAACAATTTTTACCAACATTTCAAAGACACACTATGTATTATAATAATTCATGATGCATATCTTCATTACATAGATTACACAAAATCAAGAACTCTGAAAAGGCTTGTTCTATCTACCCATATATAGTTACCTTATTTAGGTCTTCTCTTTCTTGCTGCAAAGTTTTGATTTGTTTTTCATAAGCTTTGATTTGTCTAAAAGCATCATCTAGTTCTTGCCTCACAGAATTAGCTTCTTGAAGTTGCTGTTCCAAGTGACTTGATTCTAAAAGGAGAAGACAGATTTCTTTCACTATGTATAATTTTAAAATGCTTGAAAATAAGATTTAAAAGAGCTAATTTTTCAAATGAAATGTGTATTTTGGTATCAGATTTACTGATATCACATGATTCATGACTAAAGCTTATCCTGTAACATTTGCTATATATCATTCATTATAAAAATGTCAGTGCAAAGATATTCAAAATGCCTGTGTAAACTACATTATAAGAGGAAAGGGAGGAGACCTTTACTTTTAAACTCTGTACCTTGGGGCTGGAGCAATAGCACAGCAGGTGGGGCGTTTGCCTTGCATGCGGCCGACCTAGGTTTGATTCCCAGGATTCCATATGGTCCACCGAGCACCGCCAGGAGTAATTCCTGAGTGCATGAACCAGGGGTAACTCCTGTGCATCACTGGGTGTGACCCAAAAAAAGCAAAAAAAAAAAAAAAAAAAAAAAAAACCTCTGCACCTTAAGTCTTAAAACTAATAATAAAAACAAAGAAAAAAATCTAATAAAAAAGTATTTTTCTTTGTTGTAAAATAATGCTTACAACATTCATTTTTTATTTGTTTGATTTTTTTCTTCGTTATTATTATTAATTTTAAGACTTAAGGCACAGAGTTTTGCAGTAAAGCTTCCCTCCCTTTCCTCTTCTCTACCCTGGGAATGAGGGTAAATACTACTAACTTGACTCTCATTTCTATTTTCCTTATTTTCATCTGCAACTTCAGATTTCTCAGCACTTGAAAATTAAAATGGGAACTAAGTCACTGATCACTCTTCCAGGACTTCCATACACTGGATCCATTCTGAGAATCTAGTAGAGAAACACTGGTACTGCTTGAGGAAAGACAAAAAATTCTTGGAAGATGGGTTAAGAGCGAACCACTTTGTCTCCCACAAGATGATGACAAATCTACATCAAAACCTGGTGTACTGTGCACAAAGACCAAAAATGAAACTCAAATGAACAAAACATCTGCTGCAAGCATTGAAGAACAGCGCCAGAAGAATTGGAGAGAGAGAAATTTGCCTTTACTTCTACCTTAAGAGTAATCTTGAGGGTTGGTGAAGTGGCTATGGAAGTATACTTACTTCACATGTGTGAGCCCCTATGTTGATTCCTGTATTACATACCCTACACTACCCCCCACCCACAAGCACCACTGTAAGCTCTACCCAAGCACTAGGTCAGGAGTATTGCTCGTGTCACTGCTGTTCCCTGAAGCCCCCTGCTCCACATCCCAGAAAGAGTAAATTTGAAACTTAGAAAGATATCCAGAGAGACTACTTAAAAATTTTATGAAAAATGGTTAACCATCACATTCATATGTTGTTTCAAAACTAGTTTCAGAGATTAACATTAAAAAGCAATTATGAAAGAGAATTAGCTTATAAATAAAAGATAGGGTCGAATATAAACAGAGTGGCAGATTCTATGTGTGTTAAAGAAGTTGAGAGAAGGGAAAATGGGAGCATTATTAAAGCAGCACTCAAAATCGAATACCAGTCTTTGGAAAAGGGATAAGACTGAAGTCAGAGAGAGGCTGGCAGAACACCAAAGCATTTTCCCAATCCACAGGCACACAAAATCATAATTTTGTTATGTTATTATTCCTAAAACAATAACTTCTAAGATGAGTTTACCTGTAATCACAATGTGAGAAAGGAGGTTGCCTTATTTGCCCCCCTTTGTTGACTACAATCTCCTTCATTTACATAATGTATAACACTGTGAATGTTTATGGTGGGGGGGGAGAAAGAATGAGATCACATATGCAGTATTTAGAGTAACTGGATAAGGAAATGCAATGGTTTAAGGGGGGAGATGCCTAGATAACCCTTGATCCCAGAGTACAGGGAGGAGGAGAAGTGAGGGAGAGGGAAGCAAAGAGAGATGAGAAGCGATGCAGGAAAGAGTCAAGGTGATCCAGGCATACTGGTGATGTTAAGGAATGATAGAGCTATATATCCATATCACAGAATCTACAACACTGAAATTGCGAGATCCAAACTTTAATAACTAAATTTAAAAGATTCCTGTCAAGACTGCACGCTGGAAGGAAAGAGTAAGAGAGAGAGAAAGAAGAAAAGTGCCTACCATAGAGGCAAAGGCAGGCTGGGGCGGAGTGGGGTAGAGCAGGTGGAAAGGGAGGGTAGCAGGAGAGAAAATGGGGACATTAGTGATAGGAAATGTACACAGGTAAAGGGATGCGTATTCGAACATTGTATGACTGATACCCAAAAATGAACAATCTTCTGTGTATCTCACGGTGAGTTAATTTTAAAAAAGCAGCACAAAAATCTTGAGCTCTGTTTTGTTTAAAAAAAAAAAAGGCAAGCTGGGCTAGGGTGGGTGGAGAAGGGAAGTTGACACAGATGTTGGGATTGGTGATGGAACACTGAACGTCAAAAACCCAACTATGAATAAATTTTAAGTTCATAGTGCTTTAATAAAATAAACTTTTGTAGGAAAAAAAGCGGGGTGGGGATGATGACAGAAAAAGAGAGACAGAGAAAGGCAAAGTAAATGAGGTAGTTTAAGGCTGTGTATGGATGCAGAAACCATAAGCAAAGGAGAACAATGAAAGAATGAAAGACACAATGAAAGAATGAAGCACAGAATAAAGAATGGGGTAAGGGTTTACAAAGGAACTGGAGTATGAAAGGAAAGAAAGGTTATTATTTAATGGGTAGAAACTTGTAGAGGAGATGTTAAGGCGCTACAATAAAGGTGGCAGTGATAGTTTCACATAACTGTGAATGTACCTAAAGTCAGTTAAATGTACTTAAATGGTCTTTTTTTTTTTTTGCTTTGCTTTTTTTTTTGGGGGGGGGGTCACACTCAGCTATGCTTAGGGTTAATCCTGGCTCTGCACTCAGGAATTACTCCTGGTGGTGCTTGGGGGACCATATGGGATGTTGGGGATCGAACCCAGATTGGCCATGTGCAAGGCAAACATCCTACCCTCTGTACTATCGCTCCAGCCCTAAATGGTCATTTTTGCTATGTAACTTTTACTATGGGCTGGAGCGATAGCACAGTGGGTAGGGCGTTTGCCTTGCTGCAGCCGACATGGCCGACCCAAGTTTGATTCCTCTGCCCCTCTTGGAGAGCCTGGCAAGTTACCAAGAGTATCGAGCCTGCACGGCAAAGCCTGGCAAGCTATTCGTGAGGTATTCAATATGCCAAACACACACATAACAACAAGTCTCACAACGGAGACGTTACTGGGCCCGCTCGACAAATCGATGAACAATGGGAGGACCATGACCGTGACCGTGACAGGTATCACGTTGATTTTAGGTGTCACAGCTCGCAATAGAATTTAACTTTTTTTTTTATAATTGACTTCAGGGGGGTTCTCACATTCCGAGTACTATTAAAATACTTGGACAGATCAACAGTTTCAATTTACAAGGAGATTGCCTATAAGTCTAGTGATGAAGCTAGTAAAGCCATACATAAATTTAAAGACTTCTATGTCAGTGATACAAAATATATAGAGAAGCAATTGTGAGTAAAACAACAAATAAAGAAGTAGAAAAGAGAAGATGAAGTGAGGAAGAGAGGAGAAAAGGAGGGAAAGAGAGAAGGGAAGGGAAGACCAACAAAATATGTGAGCAATCTAGACGCAATTAAGTGGAACAAAATTTGTTTATTGTAATTGAAATTTGTAGGAGAGCAATTAGTAAGAGGAAAAAAAAATACATGTAAGTCAATGATGAGTAAAATTAAGAATTTTCTTTTTTTTCTCCTGGAAGTAGCAGGAAACCCCTAAATCAGTATGCCATGATCAGATTTAAATTTTATAAACTTACTCTAGGGAATTTGCTTCCCAAATATGGAACAGAATTGCTTTTGATAGTTTTCATTAAGCATAACTTAAAATGCTGAACATATATAATATAAATACAAGAAGGATCTAAAATTTGGAGAGAAAAAAGAGTTCACTGCTAACAGTACAGTGCTGAATTCCCTGAGTTTTAATTTTGGTTCATCTATCTCAAGACTTAAATCTGAAGAAGCTGACAACCTAGATATGCCAACATATGCAGAGAATATAATCCCCAACAAATTTATTTCTAAATAAGGAATTAGAAAAGTGGCAAAAAAGAGAAAAAATCTTAGAAAATAAGTACTATGCTTCAGTTAAACATTATAAACTATTATAAACAGTTATAAACATTATAAACATATATAAGCGGTGGCTCCAAATCCACATGAATCAACAAAGAACAAGTAGGAGCCAGATTTATAATACCTGAAGACACAAGCATCTATATCTGAGGGTGGCCAGAGAAGGGTTGACAGGAAGTGAGGATAATTCCACTGAATGGTAAAAGATTCTCCCACATTCATTCAGTGGAAGCTATATGGAGAAACAAACTTCTATTTCTCACAAAGCTGTAATGAAAGGAGAATTTTACCTCCTCTTCACTGGAATACTGCCACTGGGGTACTTCTAATAGAATTAAGAATTTTCACCTTTGAACAATTGATGTAGGCAGGTGGATTAGGGAAGGGACCTTCCACATCAGGGCAACAAAATTTCTGGCAAGTATTATAATAAAGCCACTAGTCCTAGGGCTGACCAACCTGGTGGATACAGAAAGCAAGACCTGGTAAGATCTTCTCCAGCAGCAGATCCTGAGGAGATTGACTCCCTCCCTACAGAAAGGGCCTGAAGGAAATTCCTCAAGAATCTCAATTCCTTCCTTTAATCTGACTAACCCTCAGCTAACCCAGCACAGAGAAGGCTGGACCCACCCTTCAAGAGAAGATTCAGCAGGAACAAATCAAGAAAAGGAGTTTACAAAGAAGACCACTCCCAACTCGACCCCCTTGGCAACCACCCTAGCAAGTGCCTTACCTAGCTAGAAAGTCCCAACTTGGGAAAAACCCTGTATTAAAATGCCACATTGAAAAAAAGAAGGGTGCATTTATGCTGTCCAAGCCTATGTGCTGCCTATGCCCACATGGCTGAGCACATGCGGTG